AGGCTGACATAGGGGACCGACCCCAACCAGAGCACAGGGCCATCTGAGCAGTGAAATAAAGCACCTGTGCGATCCAGAGTACCTGGGCAGGTCAACAGAAAGGGCCTCGATAGGTCTGAGCAGTCGTCCGCAAATGTGAGAAAAGGGAAAGAACCCTGGATCAATGAAGAGGGCCCCTGAACATCGAGTGGCTCGTTGCCTTAGCTAAGAGCCTATGAGCCCTAGCAACAACACAAGGTCCTCCGAGCAAGTGGAAATAACCCGAAACTAATCTGAAGGGTCCGTGAGCGACTGAGTGTACCCAGGTATGTGGGGCTCCGGTGAAAGTGAATGGAGCCTTTCGGGCAAATGAGAAGAAGACGTGGACAGCTTCTGATCGATCAAGAGTACCCGGGCATGCTAGCAGATAGTGTCTCAACAGCAGCGTAGGCTCTACGAGAAAATGTAAAGAGATCAAGGGTAACGTGGAAGGTGTCTCCTCAGCGATCGGATTGACCCGGCAAGTGGGCATATATGGACCCTACAACAGCGTAACGCCTTTGGGCTCTTTACTTTCGCCTGTGACTGTTCTTCGTCGTCTGAAGGCCCGAAGATGTCCTATTGTGCTGTGTTTCGTGCTAGAAAATTGCGTCCGTTCGACCAGTCATGGGCCCTTGGGAGCCTATGGGTCGCCCTGGGGCACGAGGGGAGGGGGACATGGTTCTGCATCCCCTCTCCAGATCCGCTGTTGGCCCTAACAGGTTGCTAGATGGGCCCCGACGAGAACGCAGGGTCATCCATTCAAATAGGAAGCACCTAGACACAATATGGAGGGTCCAGGAATGATGCACCCGAGGACAGAATGAAAGTACCCAAGACTCGATGTGGAGGACCCCTGAAAGATCAAGCGCACCCAAGCAGGCTTTCAGATGGCCTCCGAAGGGAGCGTAAGACCCTACATGCAAATACCAAGACCCAATGTGGAGGGCCCCGAACATTCCAGCTTATCCGAGCAGGTTAACAGATGGGGACCCCCGGGAAGTGCATAGGGCCTCTCCTTTCAAAAAGGAAGTACCTAAGACACAATTTGTACGACCGGACGACCGAGCATGCCTAAGCATGTTAACAAATGGGGCCCAACGAGGGCGTAGGGCCCTAAACAAGTGACAACAGATTGGAAGGGCCCTAAACCAATGTAGAGCGCCCATGAGCACATCGTGAGTGTGTCGGTAGGCTAAATGTGACCAACGGGAAGGGGCCCCGAG